AATGAACAGTTTGCCTTTAAATTTTTGAAGTTTGTCTTCAAATGTCAGACTGTTCTTTTGGCTCTGCACAGTGGTGTCACTGAATAGAAGCATTATTTCAGTGCCTTAACTTATCACTGCTGGAAACCATTCTGTATCAGCATTTAAAGGTACAAGAATGTAATTCAGGAGGTAATTTCAATCTTAACAGAATCCAATTAAAAGCATGGACATTTCAATTAAGCATGCCCCTGGCTTGTCGCTGCAGTGGAATCAGATTACAGTGGCGAGAGCCTGAAGAAGTAGTTTTCAACGCAATAAGGATCACGTATTCCAGATCCAGACCCCTGTCATGCATACTGCAGGAAAAAAGAATAGCCTTTCTTTGCCAACATTAGTCATTTAATTTTCCTTCCTTATTAATTTCACAGCAGATTACCTGAGCAGATACAAAATGCTGTCAGCTAAGAGTTTTAATTAAATATGGGGTTTGTTGCTATGAGTACCTTATGTGAAACTGCTGCCTTATAATGCTCTTGTTTTAATTACTTCGGAGTGCCCCCTCATTAACCTCTGTGGAGATGTGCTCCAAACTACAGTGAGCATTACAAACATGAGACTAAGAAATTGCTCATATCCATACAAAGAGCTTTATATTTGTACTGTTATACAAAAAAAATCCATGAATAACTTAATGAATGAACAAAAGGCTTTTTCTCATTTTGTTCTTTTGAAAAATGTAGCATTTTTCAGAATTTCAAAATAAAAGAAGTAGACAGTACAGTTTGGGATCTTGTGCCTTGAACTTGTTAATTGTGAGATAACCTTGGTGGTGAAGGGCACCATGACGACCCCTGGTGGGATCCACAATCTCTAATTGCAGGTTTGTGCCATATTTGTAGATCACGCTGTTAACAAATAGCATCAGTGTTTCCAGTATAATTCTTTTATACCAACAGTGGGTCTAAAATGTATTCAGTTAATGAAATGTTTTAATAAAATTGTATGAATAGAATGTTTTATGATTTCTTTCGTCATGAATACATAAATTGTATAGTACAAAATTGTGTACTAAAAACTAAGATCCAAAATGTGTTTATATTAGATATGACGCTTCTGTGAGCCTGGTTAAGTCAAACACAGTTTTAATTTGTTTCATCATTTCATTGTTCCATAGCTCATCTGTCAGGCAGCTGTAGATAATCAGAAGCCCTGCAGACATGTCCTTTTTTTTTTTTTATCCTTTTCATCCTGAACTTTCAGAATGGTCAGATATCAAAAAAGCTCAGAGTGGGCTCCTATTCACAAAATGCAGATGGATAAATGTGCCACTGACCACCCCAACACCTTAATGTGGTTTAACAGGATACATTAGCTTTTAATGGCACTTAATTGAACAAAAAGGAAATCCATAACCACATAAGGAGAAAAGTCAAGTATTTCCAAGCTCTTTATAAGAACAATTTAGAGCATACAAGTGCTTTTCAAACCTTGGATTGGAATCAGTGTGACAGCCTGGCCATGAGAAGGATGCCTACATTTGTAAGGCTACAGTGCCACCATTCGGTCTTAATGAGAGCTTCATGTTATTGCCAGGCCCCGGAAATGTGCAATTATAGGCCTGCATGAAAAAGAATAAATTGTGTTAGTTTATACTCTCAAAATCCCATTTTGAAATAAATGATCTCATTCAAAAAATAATGTTGGGACAGTCAGGACTGTAATTGTCTAACTCTGCACTGAACTATCTTTGAGTAAGCAATGTACTTCTCTACGGCTGAATATAAAATTGCACTGTCTTAGTCTATGATATGTCATTAAAATAGAAGAGCTGGACCAGAAATATGTCCAGGTGCAGTATTAGAGAAGAAAACATCCAGTCCCATTGTTGTTGTTGATAGATTATCCTAGGTCCATGCCATCTTAGATAATGAGCAATAACCTGCACTTCAAGAACAGGGGAGGTTTGCCAAGAAGAAATGGTGATTACAATCAATTAGGACTGATGACAAAGCACCAACTTTAACTGTGTGTGTGTGTGTGTGTGTGTGTGAGAGAGAGAGAGAGAGAGAGTTTGTGTTTTATTCACGCATCCTTCCAAACTACCCTGTTTTGAGTAATCAACATCTGTTGTGACAGACAACCTCCTCCTTTCTCAGAATGGCCCACTTCAGATAATGAGTGTCATACCAAACTGCAGGGTAAAGGCTGATTTTACTCTTCTTTTTATTCCTCCTCTTTGGCCTCTGCTCTGACTACCCTCTGTTCTCTCTCCTGTCATTCAAGACTCCCTTTGTGGAGAAAAAAGAGAGACAAACACTCCCACAGCATTGCCAGTGCTCAGTATGTGAGAGTGTGTAGATGAAATAGAATACTGATTCTTAACTGAAAGTGTAGGATCCTTCAGAGTCAACTCCAAAAACACAGACATCCTGGTGAATGCCTTTATTTTACCTTCACAATGTAGTCACTCCATAAAAATGTAACCCTTGAGACTATTCCTACATTTCCTTTTGTTATAGCTTCTCCCCCTACCCATATATTTTTAGGTGATCACAGAGCAATTTCATTCTAATTCATCAAAACAAAACATTCAGTGATAAGTGTAGTCTGTACAGTATTGATATGTTTGATTGACTTTTTTCGTTATATCAATGGTTTAGGCGCCATCTGCTGGTAGATTTGGTCATCCCAGAACCTAGGGTGAGTCTTACTAGTTGTTTTTGTGGCTATAATAAATAACCGATATGCGTATATTTTCTTAAATTGGTAGCCATTATCTCTTAATACTTAGCCTGAAATAGTATTACAATGCATCATTAGATAATGTTACATGCTGTAATGATAGGTACAGGCACAAATATCAATGTGCAGCATGTCATTATAAAAGTAGGCATTATCTAACATAACTTGAACTCCATTTTCCCCCTACAGTCTAAGCTCTGTCTTCAATGAGATGTGTCTGAGATTAATAAATAAAATACATTTCCCAGCTTAGCCTCCAAATTAATTGCCTCCAAAATAAGACAGATAGGTTCAGACAAGCGAAAGTGTGCGATTGCATGGAATGTCAGTCTATTTGGGTAAATTAACGGATGCATCCAATTTCTTCAGACTTAAGATTCATCTCATAAACCTCTTTTTATTATTGCCAAGATGGAATTTGCTGTCTGCAAAACCAAGTAAAACAAATTTGTTGAAAATCCATTAATGTCATGAGCACACTGAACTCTGTTCAAGCATTACCCCAAGTTTGCTTTAACTACAGAAGAGCTCTGCTATTTATAAACGCTCTTGTATTTTTATATTAGCTTATGAAAACATCCTGTTTAAAGTGTCAGGTGGCAGCAGCTTCAATGAGCAGTGAAGCTGTTCTACCTTTTTTCTTTTTGTAAGTATCACCACAGTGGTATGTGGTTATTAATCTGGAAGTTAGGTTCTCATCGGCCACTGTTCATCAGGGGGCTCGAAGTGAAGAGGGTGAGCAGCTTCAAATACTTGGGTGTCCACATCAGTGAGGACCTCACTTGGACACTTAACACCACACAGCTGGTCAAGAAGGCCCAACGGCGGCTGTACTTCCTGAGGAGGCTGAGGAGGTTTGGCATGTCGCCTAGGATCCTTTGCAACTTCTACAGCTGCATCACTGAAAAACTCTTTCTTTCCCACTGCCATCAGACTCCTAAACAGTTGGCTCAGAATCTACCTCATGTAATTCCATCTGTACTGTTTACAGACTCATTTTGCACACTCACTGCTGACTATTTTCATGGCTTTCACGTAACATATATTCTCTCTACGTTACATTGTGTTCTAGATTTGTGTTACTGCCTATTTAGATGTGTTATTGCTCATCTAGTTTATATTTCACTTGTACTGTGTGGCATTCATGTGGACAGCAAAGTAAGGATGTCATTGTACAGGGAAACACATTTCCTAATTGTGCATATGACAAATAAACACTTTGACCTTGACCTTGAGGTGCATTGAAACAATGGGTGCATTAGAATTAGTAAGGAGTATTTTTTTAATATAATACAGGGTTTGACTTTAGTGTGAGCTGGAGTTACTACAACAGTGTACAGTGAAGGCATAGGCACTGGTGTGCATTTAATAGGCCTTGTTTTAGCAGATAATTTTACCCTGTTTACACATCTGATAATAGCACATTTGTAGTCAGTAGCATTAATGACCCCATTAAACCATGACAGTGGACCAGCATGCACACTACCAATATTATTAATTACACCTGTGCTTGTCATGTTATGACAAGTCCAAATATCTAAAGATAAAACAGACTTGAATAACTTCTTGTAATAACAAAAATTAAACCACAAATATTTTGTCATAATGATGTAATAATGTATTCATGACAAAAACCACGTTATTATCCAGTTTAAGGGCGTTAAAACATCCATGATAACGAGATTATGGGAGGCTATGTTAGTGTTTCCACCAGACTGACTGATAATGAAAAGACGTTTCATCCTGAGCTGACCCAAAGTTCACCATCTAATCTAAAAACACATCCGATAATGAAAGTCACAAGTCGCTTTCACTTTATTTTCATGCAAATATATATATCAACAAATTATGTATTAAAAGATGCAGTTTTTAAGTGAGGTTTTGTGAATATAAACTCATCCACCTAGCTTCTACTATAGTGTTTTATGCATTTTAGACACCAGGGGGCGCTTTATGGCCGATTACAAGGCGACCTATTTATATCAAAGCTCTGTTACATCAAAGCTATTTCGTGTCCCTGTTTGAGTCTGAAGCTTGGTGCCACTCTTTAATCTAAAATTTACTAGTTTTAGAAACGCTCATTGGCGGTTTCTCTAGAGGAATGGGACTTGAAAAAGACGAAACCCCTCTCTGTGAAATTCAATAGCTTACCCTTTGTCAAAAAATAGAAAGGAAATATAATTTACTTAAAGGTAGAACGATTCACTAAAATGCACACTGGAAGTGTAAGGTGGGACGATTATAAACAAGGAGGCGTATTCCTATTGTCTGGCCACTCCTCTCTGTCAGGCAGCGCTTCCGTGTTTACACACCCACAAAAAACAGGACACTATAAGCCGTCGGATGAATGTTTACCGAGTAAGCATAGAGTGGTGGTGAGGCAAGTGACAGTCACACTGGAGGCTTGGTGTATGGTGAAACACAGGTGATTTCAGCTTCCACGGTTGCATTTTACAGCGGAATGTTCACTCGAAGGGGGCATGGAGACGTCAAGAAATCTACACAGAAAGTTCTGGACCCAAAGAAGGATGTACTGACCCGACTCAAACACCTCCGGTCACTGTTAGGTGAGTGAAATGTCACCGGGCTTTTAATGCTGCATCGCCGAGGCTTAGCTAGCTGAGCTAGCTAGCTGACATCAGCCTGTAGCTAGCTGACAGGTAACATACATTCGCACAATGGCAAAAAAAAAAAAAACAACAACAAATAAACAAACAGAAAAAAACCACAATAGCAAATTGAAGTGTTTGCCACACCAGCTGTGTTTATTGATTTTTGACGTACTAATATCAGGCAAGTCACACTGTCACAAGGCATGGATACTAGCTAATGTGAGCTAACTTCCCTGGCGGCTAACTAGCCAGTGCTAACTGATGCTGTCTTCTCAGGGCAGATCAGAAGCCATTGTTGTCATTTATTTATTTGTCATCCTGAATGATTTTAAAACGTAGTAATTGTCTTTAGCACAACACTGAGTGGCACTAACATAGCGTCAGGTTCTAGTTTATAAACCCCCCAGGATACAGTGAGAATGAGGCTTTCTTGCAGCTGGTTGCTGGTTGAGCTGATATCAAGTTACTGTACTTTAGAGATATTAGATTTGACAATGATCAAAATGTGGCATACTGGTGGAGTCCTTTGTTTCTTGCACTGGACAAGGAAGTGCAGTTTTTATGACAGTTATTAACCCTGTCTTGCTTCACCGTGATCATCAAAAGTGATGCCATTTCTCTGGTAGCCTTACTTGTGCTGCACATTTGTTTTGTATTGCATATAATGGAATCGATTTCCAATCCACTTTTAAGGTTTTATTTATTGATCAGTTATCATAGTGCCCCAAAGTGGCTATATGGTGCATTTATTACCCTTCTCAGCATGAATGCTACAGAAGGCTACATTTGCAAAACATTTTATGTAGAAAGCAGATGGCATGCAAGTTAAGCAGTTTATGTCCATTCTGCTTTTATGAACTTACACTATATATATAGATATATTTTAGGTATAGGCTAGTTACAGATATATTTTTTCATTGCCCCTCACCAGAATAAGCTCATTCTGATAAAACCAAAATGACTATCATATTATTGTGGACATTATTATAGAGCATGTCTGGTGCTTATGTTGTTCTCACTGCATCACAGACAAAACATGGTCAGTGAATACTTGGGTAAAGTGTGGGGAGGAATAGGTTGTCTAAAGGGCAATGGATTCATTAGAAGTACAACATATTGTACAGTATGATGTGCTGACTGTCCATAATTTCAGGCAAAGTAGTTCACGGCTGCTCAGGTATTACTTTGTAGCATAGAGCTTGTGTCTTGTCAAGACGAACACATCTAGTAATCTAGTAACGAACACCATCTAGTAATGCGGGTTAATGCATACTCTGATTTGTGCTTATGTAATTATGCTCACTTTTGAATCCAGAGCAGCTGGAAAACAATCAATAAATAATGTTTTTTTTAAGAGAACCTGAAAGCTTTTGAAGAGAAAAAAAGTTCAAATTAATATTGTCAATATTTTAGCTGATATTTACGAAAATATTCAAAATAACTTTTATATATTTTTAAAAAATATAGGTATATCCTAACCCTTTGAGATCTCACACTGTGACTGATTTTGCTAACATTTAATTTATAATCATTAAGACATGAACTGCAATAAAATCACCCTTTCTTACTTAGTGGAGACCTTTAGGCAAAGCTCGGCAGAGGAGGTATGTCTGCAGTAGCAGTGGGAGTCAGTGGAAAAGAAGAATCTTTCTGGAACCTAGTATCTTTAAAATGCTTGGGTTACAACATTTTCTTTTTCAACATTTGCCTATGAATTTTCATAGTGGTATGTTTGTTGTTACAAGTGTGACAATTATTACTGTCTTAAATATGTTTAAAAGTTTGTGCACAGCTGCTGGAAATGAATGTGGTTATATCTTTCTGTTGTCTTAGCACACCTTCAATGTCAAGCCTACTACAACCAAAGTGGAGGTCAACAGAGCTCTGCATGTCCTCTGTGTTTTTCTTTTGGTCTTGTGCAGTTAAAGATAAGGCTGGTGTGTTTGTCCAGCAGCTGATAGTAGGGCCAACATGTTGATATCCCTCAACCACCCTGATTTCATAGTGCTTTCAGCAACAGACAGACTTCCCCCTGGTGCTGTGGGTTCCTGTGTGGACAGGAAGCAGTGATGAGAGATGAGGTGTTGTGAAGGACACAATAGGGACTTGGGAGAGTGTAGGTGGCCTTTGTTGTTGCTCACAGTGTTCTATGTTTCTGTAAATCTTACTGTTCAGGCACATTTAACCTAGATGACAAGTTATCCTATGTTGTTAATACTATTGAGGTACTGATAGATTTTAAGGCTGAAATGTCTCTTAATTCAGAATGTAGGTTGTGTCGTATCTCTATGGCTTTGTAATGCCAGGACCAGAAATGTGTTAAGCCAGCTTGTTGAATCTCACCGTAGTGTCAGTGGTCTGGTAGCTGAAAGGACATATGTGATGTGGGCTATTTTCAGAGTGCCTCTGTATTGCTTTTCTGCTCACTGAGCAGATCTGTGGGATAGAGTGTGAAGGCTGCTGCATGTTAATTTACTGGTCATGCCTGGCAGGATTTGGCTGAGGTTGTTAATTGCAGAAGCCCAGTAAACCACCTGATCGCTCACTGCTTCTCTCAGTGGAGGCACCATTGGCTATTCCTCTGAATGTTTCGGACTCAAAGTCATTCTCATGCTTGGTCCCAGCACACCTTGTTTACACTGTGTATCACTGCCCCACATCTTACAGATGTAAGCCTGAAGTGATGGTCAAAAAGCTGTACACAGGAGTATTTGTTTTGGGTAATACCCACTGAATCTGAATGGAGGTACTTGCTTTTTCACTGGTTCCCTCAGCAGGGAGGTCAGAGGGCCATGCCAGCTGTGAACCAGTCAGGACTATGGGGGACACTAGTGACTCAGGGTCTAGCTGTCATGAGGGCTTAAGTTAAGTGTGGGATTTCTGGTTGAAGTACATTTGCTTTGCTATTTAATCAACTGAAAAAAGCTGTCTCCAGCGAGTATTGTTTTTTCCTTCTCTTTTCTGACTGACTCTGTTTGAACCTGTTGGTGAATTGCATGAGAAGTGAAACGTGAACATGTGCAAGTGTTGTTACACACAATGGTCAGGTGTAGGTGGGTGAGTTTGTAGCCAGAGGTGATGCTTTTGTGTGTGTGTGTGTGTGTGTGTGCGTGTGTTTTAAGGAATCTCTGCCCTCATCTTTAGAAAAAAAATCTAATATAGTGTCATTATACCTTGCTTTCCTCCATGTGCGGGCTGTCATTGTTGCTTGGGTCAGGGTCGACTGAAAGTGCTACCATTATAAAAGGAACTCACAAGGTGAGGTACTAGAGGAAACAATAAGCATAACATTGGAAGCACTCTCTGAGTCTAAGATCACTCGACTTCTGGTTCTATTTTGTAAAACATTCAAGGTTAGACTTCACCTCCTGTTATCATTTATCCCACACTATGTAGGCATGATATCAACATTTACATGTAGTTCAATACAGTAACATAGTAATAGTCATAAATGGGTTTTATTAACATTTTAAGGTCATAGGATTGAGTTTAAGTCTGTATACTATTGTGATAAAGTAAAAAAAAAATCCTCAGTCGTCTTCGGTATTTGCAGTGTTCTGTACCATAGTAACACTTTGCTGTGATGATGACTGTTTAGTGTTGATGTGATAGTCACTTTCCCTTACCAAATCCACTTCCCAGCACTGAGTTAATCTGAAGCACACCACAAGACGAGTGGAATCATAGTAGATTAATTACACTTTTTCACACTCGGCGGCACAAATAGGTAATTCTGTGTCACAGTGAAAATGAATCTGTACACATTGATTGAAACTATGCCACTGGCCAAAATGCAACCCCAGATCAGAAAAACGTTGGTATGGTATGTAAAATCAAAATTAAAAATTAAATTAGTGATGTGTAATTGGATTACATTGGAAACAATACTGCAGCACATTATTTGATGTGATACCTCATTGTTATTTTTTGTTCAAATTAAACACTCACTTCAGTTCTTAACACTTTCTTCCCATAGCCTGAGATCTGCATTTGAATTGTGGAGTAATGCAAGGTTGCATGATTTTAGCTTCCATTCTAAATAGCTAGGTTGAACTTAAATAGCTAAATTCTTAACTGATACTAGTAAATGTTGCTGTGTGATTTGTTTTTCCTGTCCAAATTCATCACATTTGGCCCAACTGCAAGTGCTGCCAATATTTGTCATGCTTTATTTGACATAAAAGGAAAAGAAGAGGTCTGGATTTGCCTGTTTATCAAAATCAAAGGCAGGCTATGTAAGTTGTTTTTCAGCTTGACTCTCTAAAATTAGTTAAGGAGGGAAAAATAAGCTGCACACAAGAGTTAATTTGCAGATACAGTGTTGTTAAAAAGAGAGTCAAAGTTCTGTCCCCTGTCCTACATAGCTTTTATTTGTTCAGAATCCAAAACTATAGCTCATACAAGGCTTTTATATTGTGCAAATGGCCAGTGCATGGGATATGTTCTTGTTGAATGCTAACAAACACATTTTTGGTTGCAATAACTGACAACAGATACATATATCAGTGTTTCAGAAGGACCAATGAAAGAGACCTAAATGGAAAAAAAGGTCATGCGAATATAGATGGTAGTGGAACAAAGGTGAGGTGCTGCAGGTTTGTTCAAATTCAATGGTAGGAACTGGGTACCTCAATGGTAAGAAGACTGAGTTATCAGTCAGCACTCATCAGTGTGTGCAGGCAGTTGTAGAAAGTCACTGTGTAAACAGAACTTTTTTGTATAGGCAAGTATAGGCATGCTTATGTCTTACATAGCATGATAACCACTGATGTGATAAATTCAGAACACCATCAAAAGTGTTCATGTATGTTTTAGCTTTATGAGGCCATGTGACATATTCAAATGCATACAAATGTGTGGACATAAGATTCCTTTTTCTCATTTTGGTTAAGTGTAGGGTTTTGTGTGGAGTCTGCATTTATACACTTTCCACGTTCCTAATATTCTGACCTTCT